GGGTTTTGGAGTCTCTGGGGAAGACTGCCGTCCTCACACGCCATGGGACCACCAGCCGCATCAGCTGCAGCGGCTGGAAGGCGTAGTGGCCTCAGCGGGTGTCGGGTCCCTGGACCTCACACGCTTTGCGCTCTAAACAGGGAAGCAGCTCAAAATCAAAACTCCAGCATGCTACCGGAAGCCCCAGGCCCCGGACTGCGAGCTCCCACGGCAGGTTGGTTTTGCCAGGGATGACTATAGACTTCGAGGCTTTGGGTGGTCGAGGGTTTGAAGCAGGGGCACATCAAACACCAACGCCCACATCGTAAGGCCTGCTCTAGCTTAGTGTGTCCTGCCACGACGGGGAGATGTTGAAGATCCAACTTAAACCACTGCAGGCCCAACAACAACAAAGATATTTAAGTAGAGCAGGCTGAAAGTTAACAGCCTCTCTTAGGGACCAGAAACACCTTACAGATCCAAGCCCCATGAAGCCCCACAGAGAAGAACTGAACACCTATAATCTATAATGAAGACAAATGATTAAAAAAACTTGTCCATAAGCTTAGGATCCCAAATATAATCATTCATCAGGAGCCAACGCTATTGTCGAAAACCAGAGAATACCCTGAAGTCCCATACCCCCAATTATACCCCAAGGCCTAATCCTTCATGGCCTATACGCCCCCAGAATTTAAACCTTTCGGGCACCTCTCCCTCCAGCGCAGAGCATGGCTCTTTAACCGAGACTCCCCGGACTGGGATGCCGCTTCGAATGATGCCACAGCCTCCAACTCCTTGGGCGGTGAGGTGCTCCATAAATGTGCAAATAAAGTTAAGTGTAGTAGGGTTTAGGGGTTTTGGGGTTTANNTTTAGGGTTTAGGGTAGGATGTTGAAGGCACGTTGTAGTAGCTAGAAGTAGAGAGAAGAGAAAGAAGTCTTAAGAAATGGAGCAAAGTTTTGAGAAGCGTTGTGCAACATTCTTTGCAGCGAGACCCAAGACTGTTGTTGCTAGCTATTCCAGCCTGTGCATATGGTACATTATACTGTAGGAGCTAGAAAAGGAACTCTCAAGAACTGGAACAGAGTCTTGAGAAGCGTTGTGTGCCATTTCTTTGCGACCGAGACCCAAGACTACTTTTACTAGATACTCAGGCTTGCTATATGAAACAGTATAGGAGGCAGACTATCGAGAAAGAAGTCTGCCCCTATAACTTTACTAGATATATATGCCCCTGTAATGAAGATTAAAGTGGGTCGCCAGAAAGGGGGGGCCCAGCCCCCAGCCCGCAGCCCCCGTCCCGCCCCCCAGCCCCAACCCCCAGGGAGATGCTTTATACTCCGTTGCACGACAATATCATGGTACAAAAAGATACGGCCCTCCACACCATGAAC